GTTAGTGTCAGACCTTTGAGGTAGACTAGAAACAGCTGGCGAGAAACAATATTTTTTTAAAAAAATATTCATTTACTTGTTTGATTTAATTTGCACCTACCACAATTAGCCAAACTTCAGTGGCTAACAGTTAAACAGAAACATCAACAGCAGCATAAATAAAATCTGCTCTAAGAATAAAAGGAACAGAAATCCTAACATCACAAAATCAAATTTGTGCCACGATCATCAACATCATCACTCTGAAAGCCCTCCTAGACATTGAGTTTCCAGTGACAGAAGCCAAACATTCTTGGACCAGCTTGATGTCCATAGGGAGGCTGGATCAAGACATTAAGGACAACTTCTGGCCAGTCCAGATTAGCATATATATCTGGGTCTCATCAGCATACTGATGATACTGTGCCCCAAACCAATGGATGACCTAACCTGGTTGTTTCATATGGATGTTAAACAGCACTGGGGAGAGAAGTGAACACTGTGGCGGGCCACAAGGAAGCAACCATCAGGCCAATTCCTCTTCCCCACTGCTATCAACTGAAACTGCCCTCTAGAGAAGGTTCAGGACTATTCAAAACAGTGTGCTAATCCCCAACCCTCACAGGTGATCCAGAAGGACACCATGATCAATGGTATCAAAGTGCTGAGAGATCTAAACGGACCAGGAGGGTCACACTACTTCTATCTAGATCCTGACCAAAGATCATCCACAAGAATAACTAATGCTGTCCCCATCCCAGGCCCAGGCCTGAACCCTGATAGAAAAGAGTCCAGATAATTCGCTCCTTCTGGAGTGCTCCCTGGCTGTCCAGCTGTCACCATACCAATAATCTTCCCTAAAAATGGTAGGTTAGAGACAGGGTTGGACACATTATGCAAAGCCTGTAACCCTTAGGAAGTTCATAATGGTAGGAAAGAGAAGCAGAGGATGACCAGCAGCAAGGTAGGCTTGATTACAGTGGCAATGGGTGCACCATGGAAGATCTGAAGGGCCAGGTTGGAGATAGATCATCCTGGTCAGAAGGAGTTGACACCAACTCAGTGACACAGAATCAATCAGAGCCTGGGTGATAGGCTCTGATAGAATATGGGTGGTGGGGAATTCTGGGAGTTGAAGTCCACTCATCTTAAGGTTGCCAAGGTTGAGAAATGCTGATGTAGACACAAATTTGGACTTGTACTTATACAGAATCAGGGTTACTTCTCATTTCTTCCACTGGTGCTCCAGGCATCACTTCTGCTGCTTTATTTCCCAGAGCCCCTTGGTAAACTAAGGAGACATCAGGAGCTTATGTCACCTCTTGTTTTGAGTGGGCAACTGGCTAAACTCCTTATAGTGTCTAAGGAGAGGATAGATGTGAGGCAAGCAATGAATGTAACCATGTTCATCAGTAACTCAGATTTCTAAAGCCAAGAGTTTCCAACAAGAGCAAAGTAATTGATGAAAATCTTGAACCCACATGCACGTGCACACACACACACACATACAGAGGACCTCCAGTACAGCTTCCCTCAATATATGCCCTTCAGGTCTGTTAGTGTCAGACCTTTGAGGTAGACTAGACTTGAACACCAAACTTATAAATACTGAAACCATTTTTATTGTAGGGTTATAGTAACAGAATCTTGCAAATCTGAATGTGCCTCCCCCCCCCCCC